TACCCTGGTCCGCGCGGTCTCGATTGGACCTCTCGGTGGGCTCTCTATCCCGCGCACGGCCCCCCTTTGGGTTTACATTGGCGACGAGCGGGCCCCGAGGGTGCCGTTGCCCAGGACTCGAAGGGGGCCGCGTTCCCTATCCAAGAAACACCTGAGGGCGATCTAGGCTGCGGGGCCGCTGCCAGCAAAGCGGCCGTTGTTTCTTCGAGCCCGCGCCTCGCCCAGGTGCTTCGCGACCAGTTGTTTGAGCTCGCGGGAGCTGACGTCGCCTCAGCCACCGACCTATAGGCATCGACGACGCGGCCGGGGAGCCCCGCAGAGCGGGGCGCCGAGGTCGCGAAGACGGGATCCGGAAGACGGCTCTTCGGGAGAAGGTCTTGCGGCTTCGGCTCCACCGAGCTGCCCTGGGGAGGCGCTCGATGAAGACTCTCACCGCCCAGGCGCCCCCCAGCCGCAGGCATGGGCGCGAGGCGCACGGCACCTCCGAGACCTCGAGCCCGCGGCACCGCGCGGGGCGCAGGGTGGGTTCCTCTCGCCGGCCTCGGGAGGCAGATCCCCCGCGGCTGCGCTGCCGTTCGCGTCGGATCCCACCCGGCATGCGCCCGTTGCCCCCATCGCGCGCTGGTCTAAAGAAATTTGGGACAGCTTGGGGGGATCCTACGTTTTGGTTTCTCCCAAGGGCGTTCGGCGTTCGGCGTTCCAAGGGCCCCTCCCCCCGCGGCGTCTCGCGAGGAGCCCCACCAGTGCCATGCGTCTCTCGGTGGAGCGCCCCGGGTGGGGCATGCCGGATTTTTGCATTCTCGTCGATGACAGGGGTGTCAAAGTTCCCCTTGCCCCCCTTTCTTCTGCCCTCCTTCGACGTCTCTTGAAGGCCGCGGCCCTCGGGGACCTCGTAAGAATATGCGAGGGGCCCCGTCGGCCTCGGGGCCAGGGCTAGCCGGGGCGCCCACCTCGCCGCCACATCGCCCTCGCAGTTTGCTGCCCGGGAGAGAGGCTGCATCAGCGGTCTCACCCGCCAGGCCCCTTGGACGCGCTCTAGGGCCGAGGAGGCGGGACACCACCTGTCGGATGCGAGCTGCCCGCCGCGCCGCGCCGAGCGCGACGCCATCGCCCGTGGAAGCGCGCGGCGGCGGCACCGGAGCGAGAGGACATCCTCGGCAATTTTGAGCACAGCCCCAGCGTGGAGACTGACCCCTCCCAGCACGATAGGATTCTGCACACCTCGGGCATCTTCTCGCACCCTGGCGATTCCCCCCCGCCCCCATCAGATCTGCCACCGGTCGCGCGCCATGCGAATGGCCCCAGTAAACGATTCATGGGTGGTTCTTGTATCCGACATGTTGCGCGCGAGCTATCTCGGACGGGTTAGGCTGGCGCGTTGCTGTCTGATGCTGGGTTGGGATTGGGCCACTTGTATGCCCCCTTCCCCCCTTCTGTCCCACAGACCGCCCAGGCTGGCGAGCTTGCTGCCTGTGCGGAAGCCTGTCAGCACGCCGCTGCCCCGTCAGAGGGTTTAGTGATTGTCAGAATGTCGTTGCATCGCGGGCTTCTAGTAGTAGAAACGAGTAGCCTCCCCGCCGCAAGGTCCACGCGGGAACGTTTGTTTGGACAGCCGGCTCCGCCATGGGCCCGATCCAGGAAATGCAACGGCACATGGCATAAGAGGCTACTGCTAATGACCCTCACCCAGCCTGGTGCAAGGCACGGCACGACTCAGCCGATCATCATGCGAAGCTCGGCGCCCTGGCCCATGGGAGGCCCCGGTTCCGTAGGGCCCTTTCGGTACTCCGCGAGGTTACTGCGCTGGCTGCCTGCGCGCGGCCCGCGCGCGGCCTGTCTGGGGCCGCCCGCGATGAGCCCGATCCCCCTCCTCTGCCATCGGCGCGCGCGCCATGGGTGGGCGCGGTTGGACAAGCCATGGCAGCGCAGGCGATGCTCGAGAGTGCCCAGGTTCGCTTGGCCCCCGAGCGGCGCGCGCACGAAGGCCCGCGAGCTTCTGGGGAGTCCGCTCCAGGAGCTAGGGCACCATCATTACCTGTCCCTGCGCTGCTCGGGTGGCAGCTCGCGCGCGGCGCGCCCATCGCGCAGGGCCTATTTCCCCGGGAGGGCACATCCGCCACCTTCGCGAGCCATGCCCTGGGGGGGGGAGGGGGGGGGGGGCGCGCAGCACCAAGACAGGAAAAAGATATCGTCGGCGCATCACCGCGGGCAAGCATCCCAAGCTGGACTCACAGTTTGGCTGGACACTGACGCGCCAAGTGTGGCGCGCCTTTGTTTTTTTATCGCATATAGGGCCCAGCCCCCTGGCTCCTGCGACGCGAGGCCACGGGGGCGCTGCCCCGACGAGCAGCCTGCAGCGTCCATCCTGCAGGCCCTCTTTCCTGGACCTGCGCGGCGGGGTCGATCTTGGGCCACTGGCCGTCCTCTTCACTGCGGCACGCGCGCCCACCCTTCCCCCTTGCTTGCGCGGCCGCGGGGCGCTGCAGGTCACTCCCCCCCCTTGCGGCGACCGTGGCACAGTGGGGTTGCCGAGCTGGTCAGCCGGCTCGGTCTGGGGTCTCGAGCCATCCGTCCCATTTGCTTTCCCGCTTGGCGCTCGCCCGCGCGGCTGCCCGCAGGGTCGAAGCCCCCCCCCCCCCCCCTGCAGGCCCGGCGAAGCGGCCGCATCGCGTGCTTGCGCCTTCGGGGCACAGGGGAGGTCAGGCTCTGATCTCCCCGACAGTGGCTTTCTGGGCGGCCCCAGTTGCCGATGCATCTGGGGCATTGTCTCTGGGGTATCGTGCCGCCCTTTTTATTGCTGCTCCCGCTGGGCTTTTGCCCACCCCTCTGCCTGCGCGGCCGTGATGCGCTAGAGGTAATTATCCCCCTGCGGTGCCAGTTGCACAGAAGGGCAGCCTGTCGCAGGCAGCCTCGATGGAGTTGTTGTCGGTGCCGGGGTTGCCCCGGGCCTGTCTGCATCTCCATCTCACTTACTGTCGTATTTTCAGACAGCTCGCCAGCTATTTGCATTCAGTTGTTTTGCATTTATTGCATGTAGCTGTGCGCCGCAATCTTTTGCGCCGAGCTGGTCAGCAGGCTCGACCTGGGGTCTCGAGCCGTCCTTTTCACTGCTGCTCCCGCTTGGCTTTCGTCCGCTTGGCTGCCCGCAGGGTCGAAGGTCTTCCATTGCGGGCCCAGCGAGGCGGACGCATTGTGTTTTGGCGCCCTTTGGGGCACGGGGGAGCTCAGGCTCTGAACTCCCCGGCTGTGGCTCCTCGGGCGGCCCTTTTGCCTGACGCGTCGTGGGCATAGTCTCCTGGCCTGGCCATGGGGGCAGGCCCTGTCGTGCTGTGGCCTGTGTATTTCGGTCTGTGCAGGCATCTGCACCGCCGTCATTTGGTCGGCGGCATGTGACCTGCAGTCGCATGCACACTGGGTGTTTTCAGCTGTCTTGCGCGCGGCCCTGCCGGCGCGTAGAAGCGGTTTGGCTGTGTTCGACGGCCACCTGGTTGCACCCCCAGGCACGAGAGCGTGCAGCGGCAAAACACTAATCCGTTCTCTCTTCTTCCTCCTCCTTCTTTCCTCCTCCTCCTCCTCCTCTTCCTTCTCCTCCTCCGCCTCCGCCTCCTCCTCCTTCTCCTCCTCCTCCTCCTCGTCCTCCTCCTCCGCCTCCTCCTCCTCCACCGCCTCCTCCTCATACCCCCGCCTCCTCCTCCTCCTCCGCCTCCTCTTCCTCCTCCTCCTCCCAGCTGCCACCTCCCAGCTGCCCGTCCACCCGTGCTCCCAGAGATCACGGCCACGGCCCTCGGGATGGGCCGGCCGCCGCGGCACGCGGCCGACCACCTCTCTCGAGGAGGAAGCTCGCGCCGCTGTTGCTGCTGCCCTCCTCGCAGCCTGCTGCGAGTCCAACGGCCGCCCCCGCTCCCGGATCTGAACCTGGCGCCGATCGTCGAGCTGCTCCGGAGCTGGCTGCGGCTGCCGCAGGGCATGTTCCACTTCACGCTTGCAGCAGAAAAGGGTGCTCGCACAGCACATGCCAGCCAGCAGGTTTCACTTCACACGCCAGTAGCTTTCCTGGTACGCTGGCCGTTCGCATCCATGCTGTAGCGAATGCTGATGTCTTTGATCGGCCTGTGAGGAAGTGGGTGCAGCCAGGGCCTCTGGCTGCCACCACACGCACTTCCCTTTCGACAGACGTTCTCGATGCCCGTACAGCTGAGCGAGTCGTAGCTGGTACCGGACTGCAGCGGTACATAGAGGTCAGCACGTGGCCTATTTTGTAGACCTTAATTGCGTGATGTGTTGGTTCGTTTCCCTTATTCGTTCCGCCCCTTCGCTCTTGCTTCCCTGACTTTCCCCCAGGCTCCTGTGGGTCAGGTCTCGGGAGGCTCGCGTGGTCCTCTGCACATCCCTGCGCCTCCAGCCTTTGATCCCCATGGGCCAGTGTCACGAGAGCGGGATGTTTTCGGTCTGCGTCCCAGCCTTCTCCTCCATCTCGTAACACACCCTCGCTCCACCCATCCTCCCGAGCACAGCAAACCATCTGTTGCCGCTGTAGCGTTTTCGTCCAGTTGCCTATTAGGGAAATTGTGGATTCATGAGAGGAATGGGAGTGTCTGGACACCTTGCTTCTGTTCGACACGTTCCGTCCGCTCTGTCGCGGGGGTCCCAGCGTACTGTACTATATTTGCGTCTTGGTGCCCGCGCAGGACTGTTCATTCTTCATATGTTCCTGCTTAGCTGCAGCACCGCATTCCGCTGACAGGCCGTCGGCTTTAACAGCTTTCAAATCCAAGAATCCCCCACGTCCTCTCTGCTTCTTCCCTCCCCCTCTCCTCCGCCATCGACCCCTCGACGTGTCCCGGGGTGCGTTCTGATGAGACTCCGGGTGCGGACCCGGTCGTGGCCAGAAAGGCGCCCCAGGTGCAGAGCCGCCCCACAGACGCAGATCCCCAATCTTCGACCCTCTTCACTGGAGGGCCCGGTCCTCCTCCCCGAGGAGGGGGCAGGGAGCCGGGGAGGCGAAGAGCAGATGAAGTGCCTCATGATGGGCGGGTGCGTGGCGCCGGGCACGCCCGCCGCGCCGCAGACCACCTCGGCCATGACCTTCGAGTTCAAGATTGAGGCCGTCGGCCTGCCTCCTCGGCCTCCTCGTCCTCCTCCTGCCCGTGCCCCCGCCTCTTTCCCAGCTGCCTCCTCGTCCTCCTTCTTCTCCTCCCTCTTCCTCCGCATCCTCCCTGCGTCTCCTTCCCCCATCCCGCTGCAGCCCATCACCCTTGATCCCCCTCAGTCACCGTCTTCCTGTTCTCCTCATTCCCTTTTCTCCGTCGTCATCATCCTCCCCCCCCCCTCCCCCTCCTCCCCTTCCTTCTCCTCCTCCTGTCTTGCATCCAGGCCCATATGATACTCCCAACCCTCCATATCCCTCATTATTGTCTCTCATCCGCCTCCTCATCCTCCTTCCCACCCCCCTCCCGATCCTCTCCCTCCATCCAAGGACTCGGAGTTCTCCAAGCTGTTCACTGTGGAGGCGATGGAGGAGAAGGGCTCGAAGCCAGACAAGGTGGCGAAGGGTACCATAGCTCCGGGAAAGGCTGGGCCGCGAGTCGCGTTCAGGTTCAACCCTCCGCAGGACAGCTGTCTCATGGAGGGAGGACGATAAGGAAAGGTTGAAGAGATCAGGAGGAGGAGGAGGAGGAGGAGGAGGAGGGGGAAGGGGCAGAGGGAGAGAAGGGGAGGAGCAGGAGAAGGAGGAGAAAGTGGAAGGGAATAATAGAGGAAGGGAAGGAGGAATGGAAAATGACGAGGGGAAGTAGGGAGAGAGAGATGGATGATGATGATGATGATGATGATGATGATGATGATGATGATGATGCTGATGCTGATGATGATGATGATGATGATGATGATGACGACGATGATGATGATGATGATGATGATGATGATGATGATGATGATGACATGATGACATGATGATGATGCTGATGCTGCTGATGCTGATGATGCTGATGCTGATGCTGATGAGGATGAGGATGAGGATGATGATGATGATGATGATGATGATGATGATGATGATGATGATGATGATGATGATGATGATGATTAGAGGAGGAGGAGGAGGAGGAGGAGAGTTAGGAGGAGGAGGAGGAGGAGGAGGAGGAGGAGGAGGAGAGGTGCGAGGAGGAGGAGAAGTACGAGGAGGAGGAGGCGGGATGGCAAAGTAATGGTAATGAGGAGGCGAGGGACATGGAGGAGCAGGACAAGGAGAGGGGAGAAGGAAGAGGACGAGGAAACGGGGAAGAGGGGGGATTCCTGGGAGGATGAGAGGAGAAGGAAGTGGATGAGAGATGACTAGACTATGATGAGACAGCGGAGGACATGGAGGGGGGGGGCGAGGAAGGGAAAGAGGAGGAATGATGTAAAGAGGGGGAGGCCGGGGGAGGGCGATGAGAGCGAGGGGGAGGCCGAATAATGTGTCCGGAGGTCTTCGCCGAGATAGGGAGGTCTACAGCGAGAGGGAGATAGAAACAATACTAAACCAAGAAAGCGAGTATCCTATTATTCCCCAAACAGTGCTTGCACTTAGGGGTTCTTATCGCTGTTTCAAGGAACTGGACGGTGTCTTCGGTCTGACGGCTATGTCACCGCCTCGTCGCCGCCCGTCGTCTGGGCCGTGTCTTCGGTCTGGCTGTTATGCGGCCGCAATCACGATCCCATCACCACCTCATCACCGCCCTAAATTTTCTTTTCTGAAAAGGAGATAGGTTCTACCACCCTCCCCCCTCCGGACTTATCGATTCCCCGGGAACCTATGCAAAACACACATGGTCCTGACCCACTGTCCATCCGACCTGCGAATTCAAACTATCCCAGCCAGGCCGGTATCGGTACCCCCTCGGCTCCCTTGCAGGAAAATTATGCGCGCACACTCGTTTAGCACACTCGTTTCTCAAAAACAGAAGTTTACAATAATCCCTTGCAAAAAATTAGACGAAGTGCATACGCGCGCGTCGTCGCGCGCATGCCGAAATCCTGCAAAAACTGTCGGTTTCGGAGGGGGGTCCAAATCGAGTGTCGAAAAACATCATATATATACATATATGGATGTATGCATAAAAAGGTTTCGCATCACGGATGTTCAACAAAACCGTGCGCGCTCTTGCGAATTTTTAAGAAAACGATCAGCTTTTAACATGCTCATCAAAAATTCTACCAAACGGGCTTCGGCGCGCGCATGTCGAAATCGTTCGAACGCCCTTGCGCGCGTGCTGGGGTGGCACGATCCGTGTCGAATACTTCCATGTGAGCCACTCTCGCGCGTCTGCCGCTCCAAAACCTTCATCACCGACGCGAAGACGCCGTCATAGTCGCCGGCGCGATCAGCATCGGCGCCGTCACTGGTTGCTCCGGCGTCGCTATCAGCATCGTCACCAGCATCGCTACTATCATCCTCGTCTACCGTTGTCAACGTTGCCATGATACCGCGCCCGCCAAAGTCGCCGACTCGCACTGAAGTGCCCGCTGGGATGTGCCGAGCGGGCAGCGCCACCGCGTTCGCGTCGGTCGCGCCAAACTAGCTGGCCGCTGCGCGCACGAGCATGCGCGGGCTAGCGCGGCCGCAGAGATGCACCAGCCAACACCCAGCACTCATCGCAATCGTTCCCGCATGGGTTTTGCAAACCAAGTTGCGGGTGAGTGGGTGGGATGATTGCGCGAGCAGTGGAGTTGACAACTTCAAGTTCGGCAAGTGAACTACACAACATAGATTATCCTTTCTAAATAGAGAATCGACTCTACCGCCCCCTGGATTATCGGAGCCCCTCTTCGTGTTGCAATGTGCATACGATTCTGCCCCATCGTCCATCATAAATATGAACTCGTATCATCCCAGCCCAGCAGCCGGTATCGACCCCACCCCGTCATCTTCTGCCACAAAAACTATGCGCGCGCATTCGTTTATCAACAAACATTAGTTGTCAATAATCCTTTTGCAACAGATGAGACGAAGTGCGCACGCGCGCGCGCGTCGTCGCGCGCATGCCGAAATCCTTCAAAAACTTCATAGGTTTCTTCAGGATGCCAGAATCGAACGTCAAAGAAACACCTATAGAAGCACATGGTTTCGGAACGCGGGCTTTCAAAAGAAATTTGTGCGTTTGCGAATTCTTAAGGGAATCCTGCGATTTTCCAACATGTTCAAAAATTCGACCAAACGGGCCTCACGCGCGCGCGTGTCGAAATCGCTCGAGCGCCCTTGCGCGCGCGCTGTCGCGAGAATCCCTTGCAAAAGTGGGACGGAGTGCACGCGCGCGCGTCGTCGCGCGCGCATGCCGAAATCCGTCCAAAAACAATGGTTTCGTAACGATTTCAAAACCGAGTGCTTAAAAAATTTCCAGCAATACATGGTTTCGCAACATCAGCGTTCAAAACAGAATGCGCTCGCGCTGCGCGCTCTTGAGAAAACAGTCGGTTTTTAACATGTCCATGGAAGTCTGGCAAACAGTCTCCATGGAAGTCTGCCAATCGGCAATGGGTGGGATGTTTGCAAGAGCGTGGGATGCGTCAACTCGTTTGTTCAAATTAATCGCACCGCATAGATTGAACCACGTAGAATGCATCGCATAGATTGCCCCGCGTAGAATGCACCACATAGCTTGCAAAATCACAGCGTGCACCGCATGGGTTGCACCACATGGATTACACAACGTGGATTACACCAAGTAGAGTACGCAGCACGCACCACGCACATTGCACCACGTATAGTGTGCCGCATAGGGTTCACAACGCAGGTTGCACCACGTGGATCCTCCTTTCTAAAAAGAGAATCGATTCTCCCCCCCATGGCGTTATCCGTACCCCTTTCGGGAATGTAAATCATATACGAGTCTGACCACATGTCCATCCTGGATATGAACTAACACTATCCCCGGGGGGGGGCGTATCGACCCCCTTGGGGCTCATTTTGGTTTATACATATATATATAATAAGCTGATACAAAAACACAAAAAAACAACAACAAAAAAAACACAAACAAAAACAAAGAAAATGATATGCGGGGACATCTGTTGCTCTAACATAACACTTTTTCACGAATCCCTTGCAACAAATGAAACGAAGTGCACACGCGCGCGCGGTCGCGCGCGCATGCCGAAATCCTGAAACAAACGTCGGTGTCGGGAGGATTTCGCAACCGAGTTCCCAAACACCATATAAAAAACACAGGTCTCCGCAACATTGATTTGCTAGAAAAGCTTCCGCGCGAGCTGTTGCGAAATCTTAAGAAAGCAATAGGTTCTTCCAAGATCTCACAAAATACTACCAAACGGGCTTCGCGCGCGCGCATGTCGAAATCTGTCGAACGCCGTTGCGCGTGTGCCGTCGCGAGAATCCTTCATGCAAAAAATGGGACGAAGTGCGCACGCGCGCGTCGTCGCGCGCGAAGCGTGCGCGCGCGCTCTTGCGTCGTCGTCGTCGTCGCCGTCTTCCCTCCTCCCGCGTCGTCGTCGTCGTCGCCTACGTCGTCCTCTGTCTTTCTTCGTGTTCGTCGTCGTCGTCCTCTTTGGCGTCGTGGTCGTTTCCGTCGTCGTTGTCGCCGTGGTCGTCCTTCCTCCTCCTTCCTCGTCGTCGTCGTCGTCGTCCGTCATCGGCGTCTCGTTGTCGTCCCTCCTATTTCGTCGCCGTCGTCATCGTCGTCGTTGTTGTCGTCGTCGTCTTCCCTCCTCCCTCGTCGTTGTCGTTGTCGGCGTCGCCGTCCTTCATCCTTCTTCGTCGTTCGCGTCGTCGCCGTCCTCCCTCCTCCCTCGTCGTTGTCGTCGTTGTCGCTGTTGTCGCCGTCGTCGTCCTCCCTCCTCCCTCGTCGTCGTCTTCGTTGGCGACGTCTTCGTTGTCTTCGTCGTCGGCGTCGGCGTTTTCGTCGTCTTCGTCGACGTCGACGTCGGCGTCGTCGTCGCCGCCGTCGTCGTCGTCGTCGTCGGCGGCGTCGTTGACGTCGTCGTCGTCGGTGTCGTTGTCGTCGTCGTCGGCGTTGTCATCGTCGTCGTCGTTGTCGTCGTCGGCGTCGGCGTCGGCGTCGTCGTCGTCGGTGTCGTCGTCGTAGTCGTTGTCGGCGTCGTCGAAGTCGTTGGAGACGTCGTCGGTGTCGTCGTAGTCGTTGTCGGCGTCGTCGTCGTCGTCGTTGTCGCTGTCGTCGTCGGCGTCGCTGTCGTTGGCAAGTGCCATTTGGTACCCACCGTCACGGTCGGAAGAGATTTTGCAAACCAAGTTGCGGGTGGGTGGCTGGGATGTTTGCGCGAGCAGTGGAGTTGACAACTTCAAGTTCGGCAAGGTGGATTCTCCTTTTTAAAAAGAGAATAGACTCTACCCTCCCCCCCGGACTTAACGCTTCCCCCTGGGATAGAATAATTTCATATATATATATATCTATATATATATATTCTGCACACTCGTCCATCCTAAATATGAAATCATACCATCCCAGGCAGGCCAGTTTCCCCCCCCCTGAGGGTCCCCCTTGTTAAAAACGGTATGCGGTGACATTTTTTGTTCTAACATAACACTTGTTCATGACTCCCTTGCAAAAAATGAGACGAAGTGCACACGCGCGCGTCGTCGCGCGCGCATGCCGAAATCCT